CATAGTCCCTGAGCACAGGAGTGCTCAAGAGTGCAAGTCCCCAGGTAGAACTGGCTGAGATGGGATGAGTAAGATTTCTTTCTGTTTATTCTAGTTAATACAGTGGTTAAGGTAATATTAATGAAAGATGTGTAAAGCTGAAGAATTTCTTTTAATCTTGAAAAGTAGCCAAGAAAGGTCATGAAGCAAAATGGGTGTGTAATCCTCCTTCCCATCTTGCTAACTTTTGGAAAGCTCTGTGACTGTTGGGCCTAAGTGTTCTAAGTACTGTCATTTATTCTTGTTTCCATTTTTTTAGCCATTTAAAAAAGAAAATGCCCCATAGGAAATATTTTTTAATTGAATTATAATTTGTTTTTACGTATGCTGTAGTTTACTTATTACTTAGACACTGCTGATTTATGATTGATGCAGAATTAATGATTGTATTTCATATTTATTAATGTGATTTACATGTTTCCATTGTAATTATGACAGAAGTAGTAACAAAAGGTATGTTATATTGCAATTATAAAATTAATTGCTTATGGAATACTTCCCTCTTCAAATCTGTATTAAAAACATACTTGCATATTAAACACTTGATAGTTTAATTACAAAAATCTGTGAAACAAAATTGGATACTGCATTTGAACCAAGAAACATTAAAATCTCATAAAAGCAGTTATAAGTACTTACGACTGAAACTAAAAAATTGATGAAAAATCTGTGAGAATAATTTTAAATCTTGTTCAACTAGCAATAAGAGCATTTATTATTCATGAAAATTAATTGTTTCAGTGAAAAAAAAAGAATTAGGTATTACTTTGTATCTAAGTATCATGAGTAAAATCTCCTATTGGGGTGAATCACTAATATAGTTGCTGAAATGGTCTTTTTCTCCTTCCCCCCTCCTCCTCTTCCCACTTCTTTTCCAAACATGCAGAATGATCGAATTGTTTGGAATACAAGTGGACAAACCTCTCACAATGAGGTAAGGTGCTGGTGCCATTTGTTTGTCTCTTGTATGTTTTATATAAATAGTTCATATACTAACATATCGAATATCACAGAAATGTCTGTGTCTGTCTTTCTTGGCCTGTGGTTTATTGTCATCTGAAGGATTTACTAGGATATAAAAATATACTTTCTGATAAACTTGAGTTATGTAGTTTAGTATAAAATTTTTTTACATTTTGTTCATTCTGCCACACACATCTGAAAGAGGGTAGATTTAGATCACACATCAGCATATTAGGAAGACATTCTTCACTGTGAGGGTAGTGAGACACTGGAAGAGGTTTCCCAGAGAAGCTGTGGCTGCCCCATCCCTCCCATCCCTGTCAGTGTTCAAAGCCGGGTTGGACGGGGCTTTGAGCAACCTGGTCTAGTGGAAGGTTTTCCAGCTTGTGGCAGGGGAGTTGGACTAGGTGATCTTAAAGGTCCTTTCCAACCCAAACCATTCTGTAATTTTCTTTTTTTGACTCTTCCTTGTTCCACAAGAGTTTCTAGTGATTTAAATGCAATTTCTTTGTGCACATTTGTGTCATGTCCTTGATTAGTTCTCAGACAGGAGTTGATTTTATTGATCCTATCACTTTCATGGCACAAATCAGAGCAGAAGGTTGAAAAGGGAAACTGTAGGGAGCTCTTTATGGAGATTTTTACCTTTGTATTTTCTGTGCAGAAATAGGTCTTCTCCCTCTACACTGTGTCTAAGCATCTTGCAAATTCATGAGTACCCAGCCACCTTCCACCAGTCTTGGTGATGGGGCTCCTGAAGATCCTAGCTCCTTGAGGGTTCACTTTTTAAATAATAAATCGTTTTTTAAATAGATTCCCATTATGGAGTTTGGTGAAAGAACCTTTTCTATGTTGCCATTGGTGGTATGATGATCATACCTCACCTTCTCCTGTATGCTGCTATTCCATTCTTCCTGCTGCGGTTCTTAGCCTAGTTCAGGGTCAAGGGTGATCCTGCTCTGAGTGTATGCTTAACTTCCTCTTCTCTGCTTTTTAGGCAGAAATTCAGTGTTGCATGGAAAATACCATGCAGAATGGTAATTAATTCTGTGAAAGAAACAAATGTATCTAAGGATAAACATGTCTTTACTTTGTTTTTCTAAATGTGCTATGCCACAAAAATGTAAGTTTGATGGAACCAAGTGATTACATGGGAGAAAACTGGGAAATAATTGAGCTTATTATTTCCAGCAAAGGAATAGGACACAATAGAAAGGGGAGATTATTGTAGGTTTGAGGCTATATTGTGAATAATTATAGCATGCAGAATTGTTTACGTTTGCATTTTGTATTGTTATTTGTGCTGAGATATTCTGGATGTTACTCTTACTTAGATTTCTGTTCTTGAATTGCACAGAACAAGGATAAAAGTCCAACAGTGTCTCCTACTACAAACACCACAATCCCTTTTGGCTTGAAGCCACGATCAGGTAATGTGGGCAAGAAAATCAATTTGTGTGTACTTTTTTTATATGTGTGTGTGTATATACACGTATATACACACACACACGTATCTGTGTTATTAATAGATGTTTATCTTTTTCCCTTAAGAAGGCAGTGATGGAATATTTTCTGTAGAACAGTTAGAAGATAATTAGAACATTTTAAGGTTATAGGTTTGAATCAAGATTGAATTTGTAACATGTATTTGGTGCGTTATATATGGATCAGTTAGGTGTTGGACAAAATTATTAAGTATGTATGTTTAAAAATGTGTATATGGAAATACACGTATTTATACATATATACATATATATCATCTGTGCTGACATACTGACTGAAATATGGTCTTTTGCTTAATTGGTATGTAGTGATACAGTTTAGATTTTGTTGAATAATACATGTGAGTAACTAGATTTATTTGGAAAACACTTATGCGTTGCTCTGAAAATTGCTCATTGCAGTGAGTCTTTCAGTAGTTTCTGCTTGCGTAAGGATCAAGCATCATAGGAAGATTAAATGTTTACTTTAGCCAGCAGCTGGGTTTAATGAATTTGCAATGCACTAAATCTGCATAACCATCAATCTTTTAACAAGCAGCTGTTTAATAAAAGAAAACCCAACTGAACAACAAACCACCACCAACAGAAATACAGATGTATTTAAGGGCTTGGATAACAGCTTCCTCTAAAAACAGGATTAGCTACAGGATTAAACTCAGTTTTTATCTTATCCGCGCTGAGGTAGTCAGTATTGTTAAGTCATCTCATATCACCTCTAAAGAATAACTGCAGGTTTTCAGTATGTTTCAGCATCCTAACACTGTAATTCTGGTTTCTTGCATTCACCACAAATGCTTTTAATCAAATGCTGGTAATTTACAATTACATTACATTACAAGCTTGTAGTTTCCTTAACAAAATGTCTTGGCAATAATGGCAGCAGTTTCACATTAGAACGTTTAAGAAACTGTACCCATAGATTTTTTCAATTTTTTTATACGTTTTAAAAAGCAAAGAAAATGATTTTGAACCAACATTGTTTCATGAAGAGAATATTTTAAATTTCTCATATAGTTGTGACATACAGTTTGACAGATCTGTTCAGTTGCACTTCTGAGTTTGTTGGACTGTTAAACTCTGGCTCTCTTCTTTTATGCTTTAGAGATATATTTCATGAAGTATTTCAGGATTTTGAAAAAATGAAACATTGAGTAATATTGCACAGTCCAGTGGCAACATTGTAATAACACTGTTAGAAGAAAGATGTGTGAAGGCAAGCGGGCCTGTGCCATGTTGCTGCTTTCAAGGGATGTAGCCCGTGTTTTGCTGAACTGCCAGTAAATCTGCATCCAGAGACTTTTGAAGCAGCATTGTGGGAGAGAATGCAAGAATGTGACTTCTTGCTCAAGTGTTGTTTCAATGTATGCTCTCAAATCTTGGTATATCGGTGCACCAAGATGTCCTGTACTTAATGACTATAACAGGTCAGGGTAGTATAGCCTAGTGAATCTGTTTTTAGAGGATTTTTAAGAAGACCAGATTGCAATGGTTGCAGTCCTTTGCAACAAATCCTTCAAGCCACATGATGGAAGACCAAATGTGCACAGCTCCTACAATTCTTCCTCTGACTATATTGCAGCTGTGTATTGTCTCATTGAATACTAAAGTCAGTTGGTTATAGTCTGTTAATTTTCTGCATTGTACCAATTCACATTCATATATTTGAATTGTTTTGAGTATGCCAATGCTATAGCCTCTTCTGGTCAAGCTGTGGGTTGCAAAAACTTGATAATCTGAGTTTATTTTCCTCTCCATATCATACACTACACAGTCAGGAAGCTAGAGGCATTACTGCACAATCTTTTGCTTCATCCCATCCAATTTTAGTCATGTTATTTTAAAGTTATACACTGGTTAAAGTTGGAATTTAGGTCCAACTTTAGGTAAAAAGACTGTGTACTATCTGTGTAGCACAATGCAACAAAATGAAACTTTGCAAAGGAGTAGTGAAGCTACATTTTGTTTCCCCTCCTGCTCCCATCCTAGAATAACTCTAAAAGTAGTACTAAAATTATTTTTGCTGACACCTAAGAATAATTTACAGATAGAAGTAGTACATGACTGAAAATAATGACATTTGTGAATCCTGCATGTTTTTTCCATTAAAGAACATAAGCTTGCCATGTCTCTAGTTTCTTCACTGTATTTCCTTTAAAACTTTGTGTTTTGTGTGAGTTTAAGCCATCTTACAACTGTCTGAATTTGTACATGTTAATTATATACTGCTTTATTGCCCTAGAGCTGAGCTGATCTAGAGGTTCAGCAATTTGGTGATCTGGGAAAGTTTTTCAGCTCAGTTTGTAGTTTATTTCATTAGCTGTTTTCATTTAAGTTCTTTGTGGCCCTAAGGGAAACCTTCAAACTCATTGAAAATGAGTTTTATCTGTTTAGCTTAATTAGATCTTACATTTGAACTACTTTCTTCTATAGGTCTTTCAAATCTGAGTGCAAGATTAAAAGAGCATCATTGTAACTAAAATGTGAACAACATGCTCTGTGGAAAAAATAGTGGCAAATTTTCAATGAAAATACATGCAACCGTACCTTTCTGAAATTTGAGAGTTTATTTTCACTGCATTTATTTTCCTCTATTGTAAATGAATATTGCTTTCTGTTTGACACCAGTCCCTTTCCCCTTCATCATTTCATAATGATTTATGTCTCTTGGAAAGGTGAAAGTAAACTGTTCTAGACTGGTAAGGATTCCAGTTTTTTGAAGTACCCACAGAAATGGAAGCGCTTCCAGAGGATAAACCACAGTGACTTAAACATCTGTGTTTTAGTACATACTGTGTTAGTACATACTGATATGTGTTCAGGACTGACGATCCTTTTATTCTTGCATATTAAAGCTAGGTAAAACATCAGGAAAATTCATATCTGATGGCTGACATGGTACCTAAAGAAAATGTTCTGAAAAGTAATGACTGTGCTTTGACTTTTGAGAGATTCTTTCCAAGGGTCAGATGTTGACATGGAAGGGAAAAACAGACAGGAGTTCTTACTTTTTTCAGACTATTTCCTCCTGTATTTTAAATACTTTCATAGAGTTGGGCTTCTCAAAGTCACGTTAATTTTGAAAACCTTAAAAAAAATACTGTTGAAATGAACGAATAATTACAAGGTCTTTTAGAACCGTAGTTTTGCCTTTGGGAAGTGCTTTTTCTCTCTGAAAAGGAATCACTCAAAATAGTTAATAAATTTAAAGTCTTTGTGCTTGATTTGTTAATTGATTAAAATGCTTGTAATGGTGCTAATTGTTGAAACTGAGTATTGCAAAAATTCTTGCCACGGAATCCTTAATGTGTCAGACCTTCAGGCCTGAACACCTACTAATAAATCTTTCAGTACTCAAAAATATTTTTTGCCTTTGTTCTGGCCATTTTGAGGTCTCTGTAACAAAGGAGTAGTGAAGCCGCATATTGTTTCTTCTCCTGCTCCCACCCTAGAATTACTCTAAAAGTAGTACTAAAATTATTTTTGCTAACACCTAAGAATAACAAGGTAAGAGCAACACAGACAAAACAAACAAAAAATTACACCTTCAGAGACTAAAAGAAGCATTGACAAAACTCAGAAATCATGAAGCAGTTCCTACTGTGAAGCGAAAAGTTCCCTTGCAACTGTTTACTTAGCATAATCTTACTTACGAATCCAGCGTCTTCATTTTTGGTAACTTGTAGATTTGAAGCATAATGTTAGTGTCAGTGGACTTGTTTGCCTGACTGTCTTTCAAGTTGGCTGGAACACATAATGATCATTAGAACTTGACAGTATTTTTCCCTCTTTTGAGTGCTAACCAGAGTTTTTCTAATCTCTGAGTATTTATTTCTTCCATTTGTTTTCTTCCCTAACTGCATTATCCGTGTACTTTGGAAAATAATGAGAATCCTAGCTGCCACCATAATTAAAGACTGTTTTATCATTTGCCATAAATCTGTATTCTGTTACCCAGTGTTGAGTCTGCTTAGAGTTGACTCTCAGGTTCAGCTAATCTGATGTCCTAGAACCAGTACACTGGCTTTGAAAAAAGGCATGGCAAAAGAGAGTGAGCTCTTGAACAGCTGAATTTGAAGAGAAGTTTAAGGTGAAGTTTTATACAACACTATCTGAATTATCATGTTAATACAGATTGTAGAATTGTGGGAAGGAGAAAGTCTGTGTGATTAAGTTCTTCATGATTATTAATTTGGAATGGTATAAAATAGGGACTTTTTGTGCTTACTGAAACTTTACCTTGGATTTTCTTCTAATATTAAATGTTTAGCTGCTTTCTGATCTTCACAATAATTTTAAATTGATTTAGGTTTATGGTTTAGCATTTAGAGTAGGGGTAGTTCATAATCTCTAGTTTTATTTGAGGAGCATGAATGTTGCTTGTGTGTGGTATTCAGTAGATGAAACATGGAAATATATGTAGGAAACCAAGAAGTGAGAAAGTTCATAATTTTGTGGCAGAATTGGTAATAAATGTTGTGTTCAGATATGGGAAAAGTTCATTAAGGACTGACATCATTGTGAAGGGCAAAGGAAGAGATTCTTAAATTGTATCAGAAAATAGTAAACCAGTGGGAAGCTTTGAAAGATAAAGAGAAGGACGAAGAGAAGCAAAGGAGGTGGTCAGTGTCCAGTTCTGAAACACTGTAGAATGGAGGTTTAAAGGAAACTTGGGCAGAAATCCTTTCCACAATCAAGACAGGAGACAGGACTGCTGAGCAGGTGTGGGAGGAAGGAATAAAAATGTCCACTGAAGGATTTGAGGATTAAAAAAGAGCTATTGTTGCGACTATTTGAAGGGGAAAAGGCAGAATGGATGGAGAATAGGGAATGTATTGTTATACAAGTTTAGCTCTGCAGTGAGTTGGTGGGTGGTCATGAACTGTAGGCATTACATGTGCTTACAGTCATCTTGATGAATAGTCTCCAGACTCTGTTGCAGCTTCTGTGGAAATGTACAATTTTGCATGCATTTGGGAGCCCAGTTGGATCATTACTGGATTAGTGTGTGAAAGAAGACTGTCCACCATGCAGGTTTGCCAAGGCTTGTGGTGCAGACTCAGGATCACCCTTTGGAGGTGCTTGTCCCTGAAAGTCTGTAAAAGTTGTGGACCACCAGAAATTTCCTAGGGTGCTGGGCTCTTGTAGGTTTGGACTTACTGCTGTGGGATTCAGCAAGAAATAATAATAGTGCTGCATGTACTATAAAGTGAATTATAATAAAAGGAAAACATGTGTAGTACATGTACGTACAGAACATATTTCAACAGAATGAGAATCCGAGGGCTAATGTAGATGCTACTTACCAAAATTGCTAGAGAGCTGTGATGTGATAATATTTTCATACGGATGTGTTATTTTTCTTTGGGGGAGGAAGTCTTCTTCCTGTGTAGTTACAAAAAATACCAAAATTCTTATTCTCTGAACTTTTAGTTGCTGAAACTTCACAGCTGATATATTCACCTTCTGAATCACAGAGTCAAGGTATTTGTCAGGCTATGTTGTAAAATCTATGGGTACATTTTCTTAACACTTGGTTGTAAACAAGTTGTGTGAAGTGCTATGGTTACAATGATCTTGCTGAGCTTAACAGCCTTAACTGCACATATAATGTATGATTTGCAAGTACTAACATATAACTTCTCGTTCTTTTTATTCTGCACCATCTTTCATTCTTTTCTCAAAAATTATGCATTTTATATTAATCACCTTTGAATTACATCTTTGTCATTACCATACAATTCTAATGCCATACGAAATGCTGCTGCCCTCTTTTATCCCCACTCCGGTCCATGGTTGGACTGGCTATCACCCCCCTCCAGCAGACCCATCCCTCAGTCTTCCTCCTATCTCCTTCAACACACTTACACAGGCACAAACATGGGACAACTTTAGCTACAGTATCCCATCTGAAGGAGACAGTGACAATGGTAGGTGTTCCATATGTAATTTACTTAATTTTGTGGTTTTTGGAAACCTGAATAAATGGCAAATGCCCTATGTGGCTAAGGATTAAGGACTATTCTTGAGGGGATGTCTGTAAGACTACATACCTCAAAGGATGCACGTTGATTTACGGCAGAATGTGTAGTGTCAAAAGTAAATGAATGAAGTGTCACTGCTTTCAAGTCCAGCAAAACAGCTTTTCCCATGATGTCCACTCCAAGAAGTATTTCCAATATAGGTTTATTTACTTGCTTTAATTTCAAGGGTTTATAAAAGTTGTACTCAAACAGCAAATATTTCTGATACCAGTTTTCTGCCTTTTTGCTTTTGGGGTTTTTTTAAATTTATTATTTTTTGATAGATACCTACTATTGATGAAAATATCCTGCTCCCATCTGCCGTTATTAATGCAGGTGCATAACTAACTTAATTAGAAAAGACATTCACGAAGAAACAAAGCTGAAACAATCAGCTAAGCAAAAATGGTGATTTCTGTCCAACAGAAATCTGTGCATAGTGAAGGCCAGGTGTGTTAGTGGATGTTATTACTCCTGCTTTTGTTTTGTTTTTCTGTAGAGCATAAGATTATTGTCATTATTCAGTTGCCATTGAATCATGGCACCATATGCAAAACTGGGTCTCTTTGTGCTAGGAGGGTCTTGTACTGCGTATAGTAAGTAGATGGAAGAACCAGAACCTAGACAATTAAACTGTTTATAAATATTTGATAGGCAGGTGTATTTATTTTTTTTAAATAGGGCCATTGTTCTTCCAGTTGCCCTAAATTAGAAGGGTGTTTAGATATTTGAAGGCTGTGAAACTGTAAAGAGCATCAGATTGAAACCAAAACCACAAGTCTTGGATGATAAATGCCAACATTTAGACTACCCATATTCTTAGTTCAGTTCAGTAGTTGATAGTACTTGTTATTGCCACAGTGTTCTTGATTATAAAACTATAAAAGACAGCATATGTGAGGAATCAGCTCCATAGAGTATGGAATATAAGAATTGTGATAACAATAAGCTGAAAAACTGAATTTAGTTAATGATGTTATGAAGCTCACTTGACATTTTGCTGATGAATATTTTAACAGGGAAAGCTAGAGGTACTTCTATCAGTGTACAATTTGATCTGTGTTAATTTAGATTTGTTACTGTTTTACTCTTCTAAATGAAACAAGCTGTACAGACTAGTGTGTGCTTGTGCACTTGAAATGGATAGATGTCTTCATGTCATTCAAACCTTAAGCCAAATGCAAATAATAGTCTTTATTACCTTGGGCTGTTACAACAGAAAACTGCTTTTAATCAGGCTCCCGGCCTTTCTGTTTAGAGTTTGTTACCTGAGGCTGTTTGTTATCTAAGGTGTATCTTCCTGTGGCAGGAAGTAAAATGGAACAGAGACCCTTCTCTGGCACTGAGGCTAATTGGCCCAGAGTGATTCAAATCCGTACCTAAGCACTCTCATGTTCCAAAACAGGATAGGTGCATTTAAGCTACCTTTGGAGAATGTCTGTTGCCTGTACTATTCCTTGAGCTATTCCTAGACATTGCATAGAAGAGAGGTGGGTTTGCACCAGCCAAGACTGTACCAGGAAGCAAGCAACAACATTTAGCAGTACCTATGTGTGTAGGCCAGTTCTGAGTATCCATGTACTAGCCCTGTGTAGCCTCAGATAAGTAGCCTAAGGATATGTAAGGAGTTTGTTGCCTTAAGTTCCTTTTTTAGTAAATAAGGGGAAGAACTAGTGCCTGTTGGCTGAACTGCCATAGGTAGTGTCTGTCTGTACCTTTGGCTCAAGAAGTAGCTTAGATTATTAATTTTGATACTTAACCAACCTGTGTACAGCTGGGTGAGATTCCTGGTGACCAGCCTTGTCTGAGTTTTCAGAGTATTTTTCAGGCAGAAACTTTGTCCTAGGTGTCAGATGGCACAGTTTTGTATGTTGACCCTGACCTGATTTGGGGACTTCATTAACAGTGTACTTTTTGTCAGAATATAGATATATCCTTCTACCAAGTGTTCAGTGTTTTATTTTGTTAGATCTATTGAGGGCAGATTTTTAAAATTCAGCCCACATCAAAACCAAAATAAAATTACTGATGTGTCACAGTTTTTAATGAAATATCAGAATTACTGTGATTACACCTATGTGTAACTTTCTTACAGTCAAGTGTAAGTAATCTGGTTTTACTCCTCTAGTAGGTGCTATTGGCAATTCATACACTTTCAGTTCTCTGATGTGCCTTTTAGGAAGCAAAAGGCTCCTCTTTTCTATCCTGTTACTTATTGACCCATAAATTACTCTCTCTTTTTTTAATGGCCTTAAGTTAGCAAAATCCAGACTGAGCAGTAGCTGTATTTAAAAACAGAGGTTTCCAGGCTTTGTACTTTCCACCCCACTAATTGGTACTTAGGGTTTCATAGCACATTCAGGAGAGAGATGGAAAAGTAAATAATGCAAAACACTTCTTTCTTTTAAGCAGTATCATTTTCCACAATAATCAGGTTGGCCTATAATTTGATTGGCAAACAGGTGCCAGTTGCATTCTGTGCATCCATCATCTTGTTCTCCCAAACCATTCAAAACAGTCATTGATCACATAAAAAGGAAACATAGAGGTGCATATATGCAGAGATTTCATGTAATTATTTCAAGGAACTGTATGTGGGCAAAGTGATACAGTCGACAAGATTGGTGGGAGGGACTACTGTGGAGAGTTTGTGCAATGCTATGTTTGCAATACAACTTTTTAATGTGGATAGACTTATTCAGTGGCCAAGCCTGCCTACATTAGTTTTTGTTTGGTGGGTGGGGTTGGTTTTAGTTGAGGTTTTTTTTTTTTTTTAGTATAACCTTATCTAGTAAGCAGTTTGTCCTGTGTAGGAAGATGCTTGTTACACAATTCAGCAGCTTGTAGGAGAGGGCTCTACGTAGAAGAAGAGGTGTTCCTGCCATGTTAGATACAAAGTTTTGTAGAGATCAGAATCTCTAAGGGAGAGATGTCGGTGCTTAATTATCTGACAAAACTTATTTGTTGAGGTTAGGATTTGGTTGGAAAATTATCCACTCCATTGGTGGTACAGGAAGCCATTGAGAGCAATATCCAGAAAATATCCATTTGTGATTGTAATCCAAGATCAGATTTTTCTGTCCTGAGTTTTTGCTGGGGGCAGTTCTTAAGGATTTTGATTCATTTAGAAATGAATAAATCAAAGTGTTTGTTTTTACACTAAAATCTGTCTTTTTTTTTTAAATCATAGTGTTCTTAAGACCACAAAGAAATTTGGAATCAATAGACCCACAATTTACAATTCGAAGGAAAATGGAACAGATGAGAGAAGAGAGAGAGCTTGTGGAACAGCTACGTGAGGTACGTGAGTGTTGGTAGAATCAATTTGTGTTAATGGAATGTATTTTTAATTTTTTGATGGGAAAGTTGTCTAAGTATGAGAATATTAAAAAGGTTAAATGATACCACATTCCTTCTGCAGTAGGAGATGCAGGAATTAGATGAGACAGACTTCATAAGGAGAAGAAAATGGTAGTATCAGTAATAAACTGCACTAGGAGGTAGTTCTTCTGAGCGTAGTCTAGCCAGCAGCATCAATGCAGCTTTTTACATTCCTTTTAAGAGTTACCACAAGTATGTAGCAAGTCCCCAAGTAACTGTTCCTAAAAATAATGTCCTCAAAATTACTGCCTTGGTAATTAGTTTAGGTAATCCTTACAGTGAAAAGTATCACAAGGTTATTCACCATGATCATGGGGACTTAATAAGATCTCTCTACACTCTATTAGTATTAGTTATTACCAGTAACACTGATTTAATGTGTTACTGATCTTCAGCATTGCGTCCTGAATTGAAAGTTCTGTTGTCTCTTGTGAGAAGCTTCATTACAAGTCAAGGACTGGTGACAGAAGCTAGACAGATTTTTTGAATTAATAAAGTTTACTCTGGTATTCTGGGTCCTACAGTGAGAGAAGTAACCTCGAGACCATCTTACTATGTACTGTACAAGAAAATAGCCCAGAACATACAAGTTATTAAGTTCATACTTAATGAATAAATGTACCTGTTAGTATATTTTGCTTTTGAAATGTTTCATGGTGTGTTAAACCGCAGTGAGACTCCACAGAACCTGCAGCCTTAACCAAGTGGGCACTAAACAAGAAGGAACAGCTATTACAGTACTTGGGTTCCTTATTCAGGAATCAAAATGCAGTTGCCTTCAGTGCAACCTCTTCAAGTGAGCTGCATATTGTGAAGACATTGGGGTTTCTTCCATACATTTCCCTCTTTTCTTTAGAATGGTGTGTTTTTACAGACATTGCTTCACTTCATACAACTTTTTGCTTCAGATACATACTTACTTTTCGTCCCTTTGATTTTTCATATATCCGTGGTCAATTCAGACACCTGTTGTCTTGAGACTGATTTGCCACTTACACTTGAGCAACAGTCTAGCAAGAAATACTGGTTGATTTTTGTCACTTAAAGGATAAACATTCATGGTTTTAACATGCGAAGTGGAACAAATTGGCTGCTGCTGTAGTGTGGATGATTTCTGAAAAAGAGAGCAGTTCTTCAGTGGTGACAATATCAAAAGAGAATTGATCCACTTCTTAAAGTCTTCAATTTTAATTAAGTGTAGTCTCAGACCATGAACTCTAACAGGAAATGCACTGAACTAGTGTTGAAGGTATGCTGTGCTCACTAAAAAAAAGAGAAAAAGGTGCACCCTGATCAATACTATGTAGTCTCCCAACAAGCCAATCAGTGAGAAGGAATTTTTAATTCATTAATTTATACCTATTTGTAACACATTTGGAAAAAAGTCTCAAAATGTATTCACTCTGCACATCTCATATACCAAAAATGTTATGTAATCTACAAATTAATCCAAGGTGTAAACAAAACATTGTATTAGTGTACATGATTCACTCTCCTGTTTGGCCCTTGTGAGACCGTACATGTGAGTACTTGACTGGGAAAATACAATGAAACCCCAGAGTGAGTTCAGTGGAGGTTACTTCATTGTAAGGGTGCACAAGTAAAGGATGTATGAGGAAGAAGGTAAGAGCTGAAATTCTTCAGCTTGGAAAAGAGAGTGCTTAGAATATCATATGACTGTCTTCAGTTGCCTCACAGGTAGTAATAGAGAGAATCAAGTCAGGCTTTTCAAAGATGCACAGTCAAAGAACGAGAGGTAGTGGCAGAAATTACAGAGAAATAAATTGCAAGTAGCTGTAAGGAGAAAATTCTTTACAATAAGGTTGGTGAAACACATAAGGTTGCCAGGAGGTGATGTAGGATCTCCTTCCTTGCAGATATCCAGAGCTTAACTATCCAAACCTCTGATGTCAATTCAAATTTGTTAGACCGGGTTACCTTCAGAAATGCCTTTTGACCTACACTCTCCTTTGATTCTAAAGAGAAGAATCTATTTTTGTCTAAAATAGCCAGCATAGATTGAGGTAATGTATTAATAGAGAATACTGACATTAAGGAAGTTCAACTAGGAATAAGAAATATGTATTTTAAAATAATGGAAGTAATTATCTTCTGAAAGTTAAACTAAGAGTTATCTCTAAGTATAGTGTTGGAATGGTTCAATATTAGAGCACAATGTAGGAAACTCATCATACATAACAACCTTCTTACAGGTTTTTTTCCTGGAATATTTTTAGAGTATTTTATTTTGCAATATCAAATTCTTTTGAGTGAGACTTCAGTTTTGCTTAACAAGTACCCAGAATTTCTCTTTTAAATCTGAATGTTTTGCCTTACCTTACCTGTATTTCTAATCTCTCTAATGCTTCCTAAGTAATTTTTAGACTTCTAGGAAAAGATTGCTGTTTACTCTCTGCTTGTACAGGGCTTAACACAGTGTAGTTCTGATTCAAAGTGCTGATGATAAAGAAAATTTGAGATAGATGAGTAGAAGACTTGGGGAATGGTGAAAGGAAAGAGCCACATGTAGCTCAATCACATGGCTAATTGCGTGCTTATATATTTTTATATGTGTGTATAAAAATAAACGCGTATTATGAAAGCAGTGTTTGAAATCTTCAATTCTTTTAAAGCCATTTACATAATTCAGTGACAAACATACGGTAGCGGAGGTTGGGGTTTGTTTTTTAAAAAATTAGTTATATAAAGGAAGTATGTTTCTCAGTGAACCAAAACCCCAAAATTGGCTGTCTACGGCATATGAGAAGATGAGGATATATATTCCCTTTCTTTTTTCCCCTTCATTCATTTCTGTATTAAAGTGTGCTTGTGTTCTTCATTTGCAGAACATTGAAACAAGACTAAAGATTTGTCTGCCTGAAGACCTGGGGTCTGCTCTGATGGATGGTGTAGTTCTCTGCCATTTAGTAAATCATGTTCGTCCTCGGTCTGTAGCAAGTATTCATGTACCTTCACCAGCAGTAGTAAGTTAGATGTTTCTTGTTGTGTTCGGGCGGGGAGGGAGAGAGGAAATGTTTAAAAATTACTGTTTTATTTCCAAATTATATTTGGTTATAGAAACCAGGTTGCTGTTCAGTGAATGTTCTTTGCTGTTAGGGGCAACATATATCTACTATATAGATAGATTGATAAATACATATATACACACACATACTATATATAGTGTGTGTGTATACATACACATCTATAAGTGAATAAAATTATTCTGCCTCTTTCTGATTTATCAACAGATCAGATTTTGTTTTGATAAGGGCCATTTTGTTCAGTACAGTATGGAATTCTGTGATTGCAAGGTTTTTATCTGGGAGACCCTTTTTAAAAGGAAATTAGCCCTTTGTTTGTAAATTGAAAAAATATGAGGTTAACTTCATTAATACTTGGCTTGGCAGGTGTCGCATTACTAGAGTACCTACAGAACTTATTAGCATGTTTTTCCTATTGGGTTAAATGTAGAAATTATTCCTTTTACCTCCAAACAGAACGGAATAGAAAAATGCCCTGTAGTGATTTAATATTGGCTTGCCAAACCTATGGACCTGATTGTTTCATGATACAAGTGCTTTGATGTAATCTATGTGTGTTCGTTTCTCAAAACTTAATTTTCTTAGTGTTTTCTCTGTTTATTGATGTCTTTTTCTTGAACATATCATTGTTCCAGATTTCTGATGCCAGTCTGGTTCTGAAGAGGTTTTGTATGCTTTTAGACTATCCACCTTTTTTTTTTTTTTTTTTTTAATGTACACGTTGGTAAAAATTTGCCATTTGAAGCCTGATACTCGTTTTGTA